ATTGGCAGAGAATGTTCAATGGCACTGAAGACACTGGCATGCCTGATTGCTGAGAAGAACGTCGACCTACACGTATCGGTTATCATGGGTCAGCTCCGTTGTAAGCTGTCAGTCTGCCTTATGCGATGGGCAGTCACCTGTTTGCGTGGTTCAAGATCGTCATACCGCCGCAACAGGATGAATTTCACGACGATGTGCAGGTTGCGGGCAGCCTGAGCGTGATAGTACCTGACAGACATTTGCCCAACATTGCCCCATGATAATGAATTCTTGAGTTTTTGGACATTGTATTGCATTGCTGCTCCATCTACATGGCTGTATTTGTGTTTCACATCTCCATTTCAAGTTTCCTAATAAAGATTGTGTCAAGTAGTAGTAGTAGTAGTAGTAGTAGTAGTAGTAGTAGTAGTAGTAGTAGTAGTAGTAGTAGTAGTAGTAGTAGTAGTAGTAGTAGTAGTAGTAGTAGTAGTAGTAGTAGTAGTAGTAGTAGTAGTAGTAGTAGTAGTAGTAGTAGTAGTAGTAGTAGTAGTAGTAGTAGTAGTAGTAGTAGTAGTAGTAGTAGTAGTAGTAGTAGTAGTAGTAGTAGTAGTAGTAGTAGTAGTAGTAGTAGTAGTAGTAGTAGTAGTAGTAGTAGTAGTAGTAGTAGTAGTAGTAGTAGTAGTAGTAGTAGTAGTAGTAGTAGTAGTAGTAGTAGTAGTAGTAGTAGTAGTAGTAGTAGTAGTAGTAGTAGTAGTAGTAGTAGTAGTAGTAGTAGTAGTAGTAGTAGTAGTAGTAGTAGTAGTAGTAGTAGTAGTAGTAGTAGTAGTAGTAGTAGTAGTAGTAGTAGTAGTAGTAGTAGTAGTAGTAGTAGTAGTAGTAGTAGTAGTAGTAGTAGTAGTAGTAGTAGTAGTAGTAGTAGTAGTAGTAGTAGTAGTAGTAGTAGTAGTAGTAGTAGTAGTAGTAGTAGTAGTAGTAGTAGTAGTAGTAGTAGTAGTAGTAGTAGTAGTAGTAGTAGTAGTAGTAGTAGTAGTAGTAGTAGTAGTAGTAGTAGTAGTAGTAGTAGTAGTAGTAGTAGTAGTAGTAGTAGTAGTAGTAGTAGTAGTAGTAGTAGTAGTAGTAGTAGTAGTAGTAGTAGTAGTAGTAGTAGTAGTAGTAGTAGTAGTAGTAGTAGTAGTAGTAGTAGTAGTAGTAGTAGTAGTAGTAGTAGTAGTAGTAGTAGTAGTAGTAGTAGTAGTAGTAGTAGTAGTAGTAGTAGTAGTAGTAGTAGTAGTAGTAGTAGTAGTAGTAGTAGTAGTAGTAGTAGTAGTAGTAGTAGTAGTAGTAGTAGTAGTAGTAGTAGTAGTAGTAGTAGTAGTAGTAGTAGTAGTAGTAGTAGTAGTAGTAGTAGTAGTAGTAGTAGTAGTAGTAGTAGTAGTAGTAGTAGTAGTAGTAGTAGTAGTAGTAGTAGTAGTAGTAGTAGTAGTAGTAGTAGTAGTAGTAGTAGTAGTAGTAGTAGTAGTAGTAGTAGTAGTAGTAGTAGTAGTAGTAGTAGTAGTAGTAGTAGTAGTAGTAGTAGTAGTAGTAGTAGTAGTAGTAGTAGTAGTAGTAGTAGTAGTAGTAGTAGTAGTAGTAGTAGTAGTAGTAGTAGTAGTAGTAGTAGTAGTAGTAGTAGTAGTAGTAGTAGTAGTAGTAGTAGTAGTAGTAGTAGTAGTAGTAGTAGTAGTAGTAGTAGTAGTAGTAGTAGTAGTAGTAGTAGTAGTAGTAGTAGTAGTAGTAGTAGTAGTAGTAGTAGTAGTAGTAGTAGTAGTAGTAGTAGTAGTAGTAGTAGTAGTAGTAGTAGTAGTAGTAGTAGTAGTAGTAGTAGTAGTAGTAGTAGTAGTAGTAGTAGTAGTAGTAGTAGTAGTAGTAGTAGTAGTAGTAGTAGTAGTAGTAGTAGTAGTAGTAGTAGTAGTAGTAGTAGTAGTAGTAGTAGTAGTAGTAGTAGTAGTAGTAGTAGTAGTAGTAGTAGTAGTAGTAGTAGTAGTAGTAGTAGTAGTAGTAGTAGTAGTAGTAGTAGTAGTAGTAGTAGTAGTAGTAGTAGTAGTAGTAGTAGTAGTAGTAGTAGTAGTAGTAGTAGTAGTAGTAGTAGTAGTAGTAGTAGTAGTAGTAGTAGTAGTAGTAGTAGTAGTAGTAGTAGTAGTATAAAGAGTAGTGGTGGTGGTGGTGGTGGTGGTGGTGGTGGTGGTGGTGGAAGGGGGGGGGGGGGTTGTTGCATCTTTCCACGCTTGTAGGAGGACACCATACTGGAAGGAGGTATCAAACAAGGTACAGAGATATTGGGCTAGGTCTGCTGCTGCTTTTTTCAGGACACGGATGTATATGCCATCTTAACCAGGTTCTTTGTTGATGTTCAACTGTCGAAGAAGGTGATCCACCTCAGCAGGTGTGCTGGATGTGTCTGAGAAGTAGAGTTGTTGTTGTTGTTGTTGCTGCTGCTGGTGGTGCTGCTGCTGCTGCTGCTGTTGTTGTTTTTGGTTGTTGTTGTTGTTGTTTTTGTTGTTGTTGTTGTTGTTGTTGTTTCAAATCTTTATTCTCACGATAGCCAGTGACCAATAAGAGATATTAGTGTGAGAGAGGAGAAATGGTGTTGGTCACACGCCTCGAGTCCAGGAGGGAAAACACATTCTAGTTACAGCGACTTCAAGGAACGAATCGAGTTTTGCATCTCCAGTTGTGCAGTTGATAGTCCGCTGCTTGGATGCTGGACATTTTTGGTTTAGTTCTGTTGTGTAAAAATATTAAAAACTCGACGGGTTCGCGTACCGGGCAGGTCAAGAACAAGGAGTGGTACAACTGCCTGGTCAAGAACCACCTTTCCGCTTCCGTGGGTCGCCACCGCCCCATGATCAGGCTTCAGATGCGGCTCCTAAATGGTGGGGGAGGATAGATCAGATCCACCAATCAGAGGCCAAAGGCCTAAATCCCATTTGCTGTGGGTCGCAGCAGGGTTGGAAAAATCCTTCCGCTTCCAAGCAGGACTTGAACCTGGTACCTCTCGTTTCTCCAGCATGGTCTTAGACCAACCCACTGTGCCTGTCTGCCAGTTCTGTTGTATATTGTATTTGAACTCGCAAATCCAAACGAGCGCAAATGCTCAACGACAAGGCAGCGAATGGTTTATTGTGTTACAGGGTAGGAGAATTGTTTAGAAAATAATGAGAAGTGTCAATCGGATGTACTGTTATTAATTAGGCCAATTGCCCCGGTTTTCCCGATTAGGAGTTAGCAACATCCGACTTCCAATACTGGCACAAGTCGAAAGGCCAAGAAACGGCACATTAACTTTGTTCTTTATACCTTCCTGTTTCTTCTACTCTCTTGCTTCTTCCTCTGATTTCAGGGGACTGGCAAATACCAATCTCATAACGCTGCCCTTCAACCTTTTTTCAGCAAACACGAAACTCACCGACATGTAAGCAATTCTCAACGTAGAACTTTCCGAAAATATTTTCGTCAGCTTAAGAGAAGACTTCCGGCTGAATCATTTGTGTTTGTTTGGACTCCACTCTTTCCACTCGATCCTCAGTAGCTTTCTTCAGATATCCATTAATCCAACGATGGTATACGCTTTGCGCCTGGGTTTCTATTCTTTGTTGCACAGACATATCAAGGGTAATCCCTTAATCCTTGACCTTGCAAGCTCATGCCCTCTAGGCGTGGCAAAGAAAAGGACTTCAGGAGGAAACTTTGATGCTGATCCGCTCGCCAAGATTTTTGCACAACAATGTAAGTTGCAACCAAAAGCTAGCCAAAACAGGAGCGAGTACAATCGATGCAGACATGGCCACACGATATAACAACGTTGTAGAGCTTAACGTTTTTCATTACTATTATTATTATAGACTCGGATGGAGACACAAGGATTAATTTATAGAAAAGAAAAAAGACCATCGGTCAGTGTCGTGCAATGTTATCGCATGAGCTGATCGTTTAATAACTGGTGGTGTTAGTGTACATTTTAGCGTAACTTGTAGTTCCTTGGTCCTTTTTCTTTTCCATAAATAATTATTATACAAGATAAATAGCACAAATGATGCCAGCATACATGTACATGTAATACCAATACCAGAATCGGAGTAGTGATTCTCACGACCAAGAGGTCAGACATGTTAAAGTCGATGGTAAACAATACACCGGGAAGGATTCTTCTTGTGCTCTAAGACACACTCTTTTCACTTGCTAAAACAGTACAGTACAACAGCATCAAAATAATCTTATCCGTCCACGTCTCCACACTGCACTCTTGGCCCACATTCACAACAAAACTCCATAGCGAGGAAGTTCGTTCTTGGGTAGATGTAACGTTATTCATATCTTTATCTGCAATTCGTTATCTATTTATTTATTTCTGCACCTGGTGGCATGTCAAGACAGCCAATTGAATTGAGGAGAGGGTGAGACCAACCACGGACGAAGAGAAAATAGAAGAGAAATGAAGAGCACGTACACAAAGTGGGAAGGGATTAGCAACTTACAAAGCAATGGGATGCTCAGCGAGCTATGCAGCGGAAGTGGTGACTGTGATTCTGTTTACTGTTATCTACCTTCACTGAGGAGCTCTTAATAAGCGAAACAGCTGTCTGGAGGATATGGAACATCTACCCAAGAACGAACTTCCTCGCTATGGAGTTTTGTTGTGAATGTGGGCCAAGAGTGCAGTGTGGAGAGGTGGACGCGGTTAAGATTATTTTTTACATGGCCGAGTTTGTCGCTACTTCTGAGTCAACAGCATCAACGACCACTCAAATGCCAATCATGAGCTGCAGATAGCTTCTTGGTGAAACACTCTGCTGAGAACGAAAGCAATGTCATGGATTATGCGTGTAATGAATCCATATCTCACTCCAGCTCATCTTGCCCTCAATTCCGATATTGTCCACTGATGAACGGACCTAGAAACTAGAATGTGGCCCGAAGCGCCTCACTACTACCTTGGTAAAGATTTATCGGAAAATGCATGTGCTGTGTTTTCTTTCTTTTTTTGTCGACTTTTTCAGTGGTGTATAACTGTAGCGTTAATTCGGAATTTCAATGCTACTCCAACAAAGGCAAGACGGACTATTTCTGCCAATGCCAAGCGGGGTTTGTATACAATGGAAACACATGTGTCAGCACAAAAGTGTGTAATCCTGAAATACGCACCGCAGCATGCAACAAGTACCCAGTGTGCCAGTTTAATCAACAATCCAGTGCGTATGAATGCAGCTGCAGAACAGGCCTCAAACTAGGCAGCCATCTTTGTGAACTGGCGGACGAATGTTCGGAGGGAACACACGCATGTCACTTGAATGCCATATGCCAGAACACTGATGCCAACTACACATGTACCTGCAAATCAGGCTTTATGGGTGAGTGCACGAGTGCAGAGTCCCCTTGTCATTCAGTATAGGATGGTATTTGTCAAGCAGCCCATCCATCCGCAGTACTTCGGTATCTTACAAACCAGTATTTGCAGGTGCTAAGTTATGGAATCTTTTGTCCCTTCCCCTCTTTAAAGTCCTGCCCTACCACATCCTGATTCAAGCGTCTATTGAAAGTTTACTTTCATGGGTGTTGTGTCCTGCTCAAGGCAGACCAACTCTTCGAAAGATGAGAATGAGTCATCAGTAAAACGCAATGGCTTTTAAAGGGAAGCTGGCTGCAAAGGCGGCTTGAAAGGTGACATGTGAATGTGTTATGCGCAAGGCGCCAGAGGTACAGCAGTGCAGGGCCTAGGGTGCGAACAGTAGCACTAGCGGCCTGAGTGCCAAGACCCATGCAGGGAAAGGTGCTATAATATCACCACAATGGGTAATGCTAGGATGTGCCCTGTCCCGAGAGATCTCTAAGCTCACTATTTTCTATACTCCACCTATCCAGGTTATTCTATATTTCATCCGTTTGGGCATGACTGTCCGTTTGATTTGCAATGATGATTACATAAAACACTACAAAATACATGTACTTCGGGATCTGACAGCCTAGTATTCCCCTCTTGCCGTCCTGCCCTACCACATCTCAATTCACACGTCCATTAAAAGTTCACTTTCATGGCCAATGTTAAGATGATCCTTACCCTGAGAGATTCCTTGGCTCAATGTTTTTTTCTTCACGCCACTTAGCAGGTTATCTAATCAGACTGCAAACTATTTTGCATGTTGTAATGCTTGAATAGGAGACCATGAATATTAATATTGCAGGTGATATGAAAACATTATCTATTACTCTCATGTAGTTTTTTTCTTTTTCTTTGTCATTTTGTGGGAGAATGGACTCGGATGGAGAGCCAAGGATTAATTTTAAAAAAATTAAAAGGACCAAGGAAATACAAGTTACAGAACCTTCCAAGTTGGAAGGCTGTTGTAATACCGCATCCAAGATGTCCTAGAGCTGTTAGCCAGTTAGTTATAGAACGTCAGTACCGTCGGTCAGTACAGTGCAATGTTATCACATGAGCTGATTTTATATTAATAATAATAATAGCAATAATTCTTGAACAAACGGCGAGGAGACAACAATTTGATAACCGCAATCAGTAATACAAGCTGGATCGACATTTTGTGTACACTGCATTCATGTAATGTAAAACTGTGGAGACAATGTGCAATAAAACGATGAAAATGTGAAGAAATTGTGTAGATAAAAAAGGGATTCAAACAAGTTTTCGTTTTTGTAGTTGGCTGTTGATCGTCTTTGTCTTTCAATAGTGGGCTTGGATGGTGGATTAGTTGTGGTTGCTGTAGATTGCATTGTTGGTGATGGTGTGGGAGCTGCCGATACGCAATGTGAGGCTTTTTGGGTTGGGCCGGCGGCTTTGGCTGGGGTGGTGCCGCTTGCGATTCCGGTCCCACTGCCTCCTCCTGGTCTTCCGCCGTCCGCTATTGCGGCGGTGGAGCTTGCCAGTGACAGACCGCGAGCAACACCGGCAGGGGCATTGACACTACAATTGCCAACCCGAAAAGACTCACCTTGCGTATCGGCAGCTCCCACACCATCACCAACAATGCAATCTACAGCAACCACAACTAATCCACCATCCAAGCCCACTATTGAAAGACCAAGACGATCAACAGCCAACTGCAACAGAAACTACGCACTCAACGGACAACGGCGTAAGGAGGGAAGTGAGAGCAGTGTGACGGCCGAGTCCCGTTCAATGGACCATGTCAGGCGGGATAACAGGGAGAGCGCAGAGGAAGCAGATGATGGGACGGACAGTGAAGGGAGCAATGAGTCGGAGAGCGACGATTGTGGTGATCGTGAGAGTGCCGGTGAGAATGTTAGTGTTGTGCGTAGGTTTCGTGGTAGCAAGTCTTCAGTGTACAATCATCTGTTGGCTAGTCCTGATTGTTGCAATTCGTACTCCGACTCTTCATTCACTGTATTGTGCCGTGGTCGTCATGGTTATGGACTACAGTTAAAAGTTTTGGAAGCCATCTGTCAGCGTCTGTATAAGCCTAATTTGTGTGTACAGAAAGATAGTATAATTGGGTTGAAATTGTTCAAGTAAAGTGTCATATTTGGTGCGGCCAAGCTTGGCCGTTAATGTTCTAGGTGTAATGTACTGCTGTTATTTGTTATCACTTTGTCCTTCCTTCTTTCTTTCTCTTCTTTGTTAATTTTTCAGTTGCAAGTTTAGTGTTAGTACACACATTCTTTATTGCTCTCGCTTTCATTGTTAAAATTCACACTTGTAATTTTCACTGCTGTTGTTCTTAGTGTTATTTCTCTAACTTAGCTTTTCTATAATAGTTCAATTTCGTTTTCAGTGTCCTTTAGTACAATTAAGATTCCTGATAAGTGTTGTACGAAAACTTGTTTGAATCCCTTTTTTTATCTACACAATTTCTTCACATTTTCATCGTTTTATTGCACATTGTCTCCACAGTTTTACATTACATGAATACAGTGTACACAAAATGTCGATCCAGCTTGTATTACTGATTGCGGTTATCAAATAATGATTCTCGTCTACGTTCCAAAGGGAACTAACGACAATGGAGTAACAAAAAGCACCGCGGCAGAGGGAGAAAAGAGAAGATATACTATTTGATGAAAACAATCACGGTGTCGATTTCACATGAGTTCCAATACACCACATCAGCAAAGCTCTTTCTTAGAAAATAAAATAAGATAAATGAAATGAAATCATTGATCATCACAGTTGGTCATGTGTGTCCACACCCAAATCACAGCCGGTCATGTGTGTTCACACCACCGCAGAACAAATGTTACTCCACTTCTGCCGGTCAACTGCACAACTTCTTAGGGTTTCGAGGTGCCGCTTCGTCTTCAATGCGACGGTGGTGAACTTGACGTCTTGCTGGAGGGTGGTGACTAAACAGGACCTTGGAGCTCCCCTCCTGTGCCTCACAGCGTCCTCCATTGATGCGTATGCAATCATTTTTTAGTAACTGGTGGTGTTAATGGACATTATTTTAGAGTATAGCGTGACGTGTAGTTCTTTGTTCCTTTTTATTTTCTATACATTTTGTGGGAGCTTGGCCAATTCACTTGTCCAGGAAAGAAAGCAGCATTGCCTGTTCATTCTAGCGAAGTAAAAATAAAACCTACCAACGAACGTATCATGTATCAGGATCCTGAAAAATGGTTGTCTGTCGTTGCTTCTCGTCTTTCACGTGAATAGGTGATGGGTTCTTTTGCGTTGTCGATGGGTGCAGAGCTACAGTATATCCTTGTGGTGCCAACAGCAATTGCGTCAGCACAATTGGTGGCACAGTCTGTTTATGCAAGACTGGTTACACGGCACCATCGATATCGGGTGAGGCGCTAGCGTTCTGATTAAGAAACCCTGTAGTTTAGAGAAAACTAACCATTGCCGACTGGCAGCTGATCGTATAACAGTGCTGCACAGGTACAGTAGGTGGTTGCCTGAATGTACAGTTGAACAGTATTGGAAAAGGGTTCTAAACGCCAATGCCTTACTACCACTTCCACCTATAATCAGCACGAGACAGTGGTAACGACTTCGGCTTCGGCCAAAGGTGCTCCTCACACCGGAGCTCGCAATTTTCAGCCGACTGGCTGCACACTTCACTGACTCAAGACTTCCAAGCAGAGCACACGAGACGCCCATTGAAATAAATTCACGGTTCGCATGAGACTCGGCTGGAAGCCGGGTTTTCCGCATCCGTAGGAACGCCACCACCCATCGAAAGTTCACCTATAATCTTACTTTTGAAGTACTTGTATAATCATTGCTTGATTTTCACTTCCTAAGTATATTAGGCGGATGCACTTCGGGTTTCTCAATAGCACCGATCTCTTCAACAGCAACAGTTTGAACGGTTTTCACAAGTACACAGTCCAGCTTGTTTAGCTTACCATGGCTGGCCATAATAGCACTCACCTCTTTTGATTGGCTTCGGCCATATGAGTGTGCGTGCAAAATAATCATGATTATTATCATTTCAGGCCGTCACTTCCCCGACTGATCCTTTGGTATTGATACGCCTAAACCTTTTGAAATCCTGATTTCACCCGAATTGAGTCTCAAAACAATCCTTCTGACAGTATTTAAAAACCTGATTTGGCATCGTTATCTCCTTACATTTAGCAATGGCATGCCCGGTGCTATTAGATAAACCTGGCTGAATTTCTAACTCCCTACACCTCAAGCTCGCGACACACGATGTCCTCGACTACACTACGTACATGCATAACGATTGTTTCCAAATGTCCAGGTCACGTGTACGTGGTGCAGCCGAGGGCTTCGTTTGTTGTGAGTTCGAGGTGTAGTGAAATGTTGAGAAGGCTAAAATGGAGCTTCAAAATTCTGAAAGAGCCTCCTCTTCCTTTTAAATAAAAGAACATTGGCGAGGTGGTAGTACCACACAAAGCAGAGTAGCTAAAAAACAATGATAGATTGCGCGACCCATAAACATAGAGAAACAAATTACGGTTCGGGTGAGACGCGGTTTTCCGCATCCGCAGGAACACCATCACCATCTAGTATCAAGGCAAAGACGCAGCACAGAACATAGAACATAGAACATAGAAAGAATAACGAACTGTACTACAATCATATGTTCATAGTATTATAGTGTTGGTGTTGTAGTCATTTTGCCTTACTCCTTGCAAATGAGAATGGAAGGAAAACGCTTCGTTCAGAGCATTTTCGATTTGTTCTTCTAGACTGGCGTGGACGACATGGAGAAACATCTGCTCAGCCATTTAGTCTAGTACTGCTCTTCTTAAATTTGACATAATATTTCAAGACTCTCCTTTTTTCTTTTTCATTTCGGTTTCCACTCTCACACACACACATGCTCACAGACAATTCTGCCGTCGTGAGTCCCATTCGGGACGTATACGAGAATAATAATAATAATAATAATAATAATAATAATAATAAACTACATGTGTGTTAAACTTGCAATGTATATTATTTCGGTCCATATCTGACAGGTGCTCGTTTGGGTTGTATGGATTTTGACGAGTGTAAAGCAATGTCAGTGTCCTGTCCCAGCAACACCAAATGCGTGAACACATTGGGTAGTTACATATGCGATTGCAAAGCTGGCTTCACCCCGACCTCATGGCCTTACACAGGTAAGATGAGAAGTCCAGGCTGACAATAAAATTTAATGGAATATACTGATATAATTATAGGTAGGACCTTTTTTTAAAGATTGCACAATCCCTACTTCTGATTGGATTCAACGTTGGCCTATTTTGATTTGTGTAGTCGGTAGTATTGCGGAGGTGCGGATTTTCCTTTTGATACTACAGTAAAATCTGGTGTAAGCGACCTCTCGTTTTAGCGACCACCTGCTCTTAACGACCGTTCCTCCATGTACGGACAGTTCTACACAGACACTGTGGGACCTGGTTCTGAAGACCACCTGGCTTTAAAGACCGCTTTTGCACACACGGTGGGGTGGTCGCTTAAACCAGGTTTTACTGTTTTGTTGCTGTTGTTGTTGTTGTTAATGTGTGTATTTTAATTCGCAAACCAAACGGGCAGATTTGCCCAATGAAAAAGGTGGGGAATGCAGATAGAAAGCAGTAATATTCTTTAAAATGAAATTGGGGAGGGATGTCATAAGGATAGAGGTGGAGAGAAACTAAGCCTGCTAATCATCAAACAGGACGTTTGGTACTCAAGGTACTAAGGGTATGCGGGCTTATACTGGCGCGGAACTGGCGGAGCGCGGAGATGGCACGTATATCGCTGGGTAAGGTGTTCGACAGCTGGGTTCCCCGAAACGCGAGGCAACCTTTGCCGAACCGTATTGCGCTGAAGGAGGTGAATAAATGTCCATCAAATGTCGAGAACAATTTCTGCTTTTGTGGATGGGCTACATTATACAGCCTAGTCACTAGTATTCAGAGGACTGCAATGGACGTGACGTCATCATTATTATCCTCGTGAAAATAATGCGTAAATAGACCTGCTGCTTCAGAAGGATAGACTCGGATGGAGAGCCAGGGATTTATTAGTTATAGTAAAGAAAAGGACCAAGTTGCTTTTGGGTTTAGCCTTTTCATGCCAACGTACCCACCCGTGAACACATCTTTTGAGAAAGTTGTACTTTCAACAGAAAATAATTTTAGGTTCCCAGTCGTGAACATCATTCTGGTTCTATTGGCAGGCTGTTTGGATGTGAACGAGTGCAGCTCATCTCCACTGAGGTGTGGCAAGAACAGCGAATGTGTCAACTCTATTGGAAGTTACCACTGCGTCTGCAAGTCTGGATTCAACGCATCAACATGCTCACGCACACCTGGTAAGTCAGCTTGCTTAGATGGTGGCGGTATGATACTGAAATCACCAACACTGCAGTCCAAGCATGCGAACTAGTCCGACTGGCTTTTGAAATCCCGATTTCGCCCGAATTGAGTCTCAAAACAATCCTTCTGAAAGTATTTCAAAAAGCCCGGTTTGGGATCGTTATCTCCTAACATTTAGCAATGGCATACCCGGTGCTATTAGGTAAAACCTGGCTGAATTTCTAACTACCTATCATTGGACTCTTCTGGCCTCGTATATGGCAAGGACTAATTGCACGGGTCACATAATTCAGTAGGTACTGTGATTTTCACAATAACTGCAGCTACATGTAAATGTACATACGTCGGATACACCATTATAGATAGAGTGCCACTTTCCAGCAAATGAACTGTGGAAATACGTTCCAATTGTTTGTAAACTCCAACGTAACCACTCAGTGACACTCACACATGACTAACTCGTCACTTTTACAAATCCATGAACAGTCTCTTCACTTTACCTTACCTTACAGTTCATTAAATTTTCGGCCCTGGCTCATCATCAAGGTGAGAAAAATATTCACAGTCTTTCGCATCCATAGGAAAATCACCAGTCTCAAGGATCAATGAGTCCATGTATGTACAGCTCCTAAAGCGGTGGGAGGTGAGGAGATCCGACACACCAAAGTGGTCACAGACGAAAATCCTTTTCCAGGGTTTGGTGTTTTTGTGGAACCACAATTCATGCATGGCAGACCTATGGCCCGGACGACTTGGTGTGAATATGTGAGGTGAAGAGCGGCAAGCAAGTAAGTATAACGAAGTTTAATGTGTTGGGTAGCTTTTTCTCTTTGAAGGGAATGTAGAAAGGACAATTGACTCGGTGTATACATTTCGGGAAGTCACGTTGAATACTGATAAAGAAAATGGGACAAAGGGACCATTCTATAAACATATTAATTGAGAAACAATACCTTTTAAAACACAGTACAGCGGTACAGATATTGTTATTTTCCGGAGAAAGCCGCACTTTCAACACTCAAAAGTCACCCATAAAAATGGCGTGCTGCTTATACTCCGATGATCAAACACCGGTGATAAAATATGATAGATGTCTGCATTTCTTGGCAAAAAATGGGGGGGGTTACTGCTATACTGCGGACAACATGCCGATTGTTTTCTTTACTTTTATCGCTTACCAAACGGTACGATTATAGGCTCCGATCTGATTTGTGAGGATGTTGACGAGTGTGGCGCAATGACCGCTACTTGTGCCAACAACAGTGGATGCATCAACTCAGTTGGAAGCTACTCGTGCAAGTGCAATGCTGGTTTCAAGGCATCAAACGCATCATCAGCAGCAGGTAAGACCTCCTCCAGGTTTTACTCCATGTGTCGAAATACAATCTTTCAAGTACAAAGATTGTCGACAATGGACGATGAATCAAAGGGAGCATTGAAATTACCGGTATGCCACTCATGTTGTGCTTACGATATCCAGTTCTATAGGATAGTCGTTACAGAGCAACAAGGACAATCAAGGCTTGTTTGCTGCTACGTGAAGTAGCAGCAAACACGCCTTAGTTGTCCTTGTTGTTTTGTATTACGCTCTGCCTCCGCGGTGTTGAGCACAGTCAGCACATTGGGTACATCCTCCGGAAGGTTATTCGCTATGATAAGAAATTATCTTATATCGTGTATGTACAAGTAAGGTTTGAGCAACGTTCATTTGAAATAGTATGTCAATACGGATTAAATACATACAGTACAAAATACAAACAAAACCTCTAGCAACATTACAATAGCAAGCGTAGTACTGGCTTCTATCAATATGCTTTTCGAAATATTTCACAAAGACCAATACATAAATGAGCTTCAAAGTGAAGCAGTTCTGGTCAGATAAACTCGACCTCATGATAAAGTACATGTAGTGCTGTGTTAGAGTGCCCAGGATAGTGTGTTTGGTGATAGGGCCGTGTATCGCTCGATGCCGTTTTATTGCGGAAGTCGAGTTTCTCTGTCCACAACGGTAGTTTTATAGGTGGCAACTCCGATTTTTGTTTGGGTAACATGGCCCAGAGCCATAACCATGGTACCATTCATCTGCTCTTTCCTGTCCTGGTTGCCAGGCGACAGGTTGCTATGTGCGGATGTGGATGAGTGTAGTGTGATGAATGGGAACTGTGATGGAAACAGCAAGTGTATCAACTCCATCGGCAGCTACGTGTGTGCCTGCAAGCCTGGATTCGCTGCATCAAACTACTCATCAACACATGGTGAGAAGCAGCATTATTGTTGTCGTTGTAAAAAGGAAAAGGAGATTAAGGTGCCCGTTCCCTCAGGGTGCTCCCGACGGCCGCTTACACCCGGAAAACACACTTTGTCGGTGAACGTGCATTTAAAAGTCGCATCACAAACAGGCAACTATGCCTTTGGGGAAGAAATCGCAATGGTAAGGCTGAAAGCCGCATACGCTACTACTGTATGTAGGCTTGCTATACACCAGACATCTAGGAGTCTTGACTGAATTGCAGATCACGGTTGTCTACTACGGAGAAAGCATGGTTTTCATGTCTACTACTGTGTTATAATTTCCGAAATTGTTTGACGTGCTCTGCCACAGCACAATGCAATAGAACGCAGCGTTATTAATCATGGTCGGAGGGACTTAACGCCGTGTAGGAAATCTTATATCCATATTACTGTCATCAGGTCCACCTTTGCCGTCTGCTCCTCTCCTGCTGTAATACTGTGTTCTGTTTCCTGCAAACGTGAAATGCCTGTATACTATAGGTGGTGATTCGGAGTGCATGGATATTGATGAGTGTAGATCAGCGAACGTCACTTGTGCAAACCACAGCACGTGTATCAACTCAGTTGGTAGCTACTCTTGCGAATGTAACGTTGGGTTCACCACATCAAATTCATCGTCTCCAACAGGTGAGAAAAGTGTGAAACCTGAAACACATGTACATATACATGTATGCGATGATTGGAATTTCTATGTTAGGAAACAGATTTGTCAGGTGCTACTGTTGAAATTGCCTCCAACAAAGTTTGTAGGTGCTATGTTGATGGGCCAGGGCTTCCAGGAGACGTCATAATTGGATGATAGCCTACTACTAGTGATTGATGATTGTTCTCACGGTGGCCATAGCCAATAAGAGAGCTAGTAATATGCGTTAGCAAGCATGTCGCATCATTCAGGATGTGTGTTGCATACTATTAGAGAACACGATGTCCGTCAGAACATGTTATACATGTATGCGAAGAGACAATCGAAATTCGGTAACTAGAACCAGAGTAATAGTACACGTTCTGTAAAAACACAAGTAACATCGAAGAGTTGTACCGGTGTAGGGGGGTGGGGGGGGGGAGAGGCAACTGCAAACACGGACTACATGTGACTGAAACTCTGTTCTGATTGTCAGAAAATAAGCGCTTACAGCTAGGTTACGGATACCAGGAACTGTTATGACCCACGGATATCTACGAGTAACTCATCCTTTATTGCTGAACCCACAAATAATTGTGATACAGATTGTAAACCATTCGAGGTAGAAGAGAAAGCCATTAAAAAGAAAAGAAAAAAGAAAAAAAGGTTATTTGTACCACGGATATCTACAAGTAGAGCAGGGATTGTGGAACATAGCTACAGTGCTGGTAACTGAAATCCGACCCCCTGAGCGGCGGGTTCACATTCTAGTGGTCTCTGTTTCGTAGTTTTACCATCCCGTGTTGGGTTTTTGTGATCTGAGCGCACTGCTCAGGGGGTCGGATGTCAGTTGCTAGCACTCTACATGTAGTCATGTTTCTGCGAATGTGTTGACAGGTGATGACATCATGTGTCTGGATGACAAAGAATGTATTACAATGAGCATGAACTGCGGTTTCCACAGCAAATGTATCAACTCCATTGGCAGCTACTTCTGCGCGTGCATGACTGGTTTTTCTGCATCAACATCATCAACTGAACTCGGTAAACTCTCCTCTGTATTCCGTGCAATTTATCTGTCCGCTACTTGAGAAAATCCGCGATGGCATGGGTGTGCGTTTGTGTGTGTGTGTGTGTGTGTGTGTGTGTGTGTGTGTGTGTGTGTGCACGTGTGTGTGCACGTGTGTGTGTGTGTGTGTGTGTGTGTGTGGTTGTACGTACATGTTTGTGTATGTATGTATGTGTGTGTGTGTCTGTGCGTGCGTGCGTGAGTGTGTGTGTGTGTCTGTGTGTGCGTGTGTGTGTTTGCTTGTGTGCTTGTGTGTATATGTGTGTACTGGTGTGTGTGTGTGTGTGTGTGCATGCGTGTGTGCATGCGTGTGCGGGCGCAGGTATGTGTCCTTTGCGCGTCTCCCCTCCACCTCCCGCCTGCCTGCCCATTTTACCAGCTCCCCGTATCTCCACATCTACAACCTATTGGCGCGTTTTTGAACATCTTTCAACGATGTTTTTACTGGCTGTTAGCGGCCGTTGTGAGTTCCTACGGGAACGAACACGAAATTTTTCTCCTCCTTTTTTGACTTATGTATGCGAGTTGCCTTTGGAATTCTAGAGTACGCCTCAATGTCGCTGAAATCCAACGGAAACAAGTGAACTGGAGCATGATAATTATTATTTTATGTCTACATGCACTCAATCTCCAGACAGTTCACTGCTTCGACCTTTTTGGGTATCCTGTGCGAATGTCAGTGTACATGTACATGTACCTGGATATGTTTATGTGTGTGTTATGTTAGGAGAACAAGACTGTGTCAATGTTAATGAATGCCAATCCCAGCCCTGTGACAACGGTTATACATGCCTGGAGACGATCGGATCCTTTTCGTGTGTGTGCGACGGTGATACGCAGATGAGCAATGGAACACACTGCGTCGGTACGTGCCAGTGCCTTCCTCTTGTGTGGCTGTGAATAACACCAGTTCAGTATATCCTAGTAGCCGCTACATGTACCTATAATCGTTATCATAGGGCGCTTTAACCTTATGATCAATGCCTGGAATATGCAACTCTGATCTCGTTTGGTGTTGTTCTGTGTTTTAACATTACTCGTATACCGGGGAGATGGTAGAGTTACTTCAAGTAGCAAAACTGAGGACTGAAACGCTCGCAATAGCATACAGTAACAACGTCCATTGCACTGGGTGCGGACCAGCCTGAAGACACTGATCTTGTCAGTGCTAAGACCTTGTTTCAAGGAACATTTAGAAAAGCGATCCTGTCCCGCTTTTCTATTACTGTGGTCGCAATGTTCATTTTGAACCTCCAAATGTGCTAAACAACTGCCTGCCATGCACGCTTTTCATCTCCAATCTCCTATCGCTCTCTTTATATCCAGGATTACCTTCCAACACAGGACAGTCGGATGCGACGACCGACACTCCCATCTCTGTTACCATTGTTGCAGTATATGCGTGCCTAGGGGTGCTGTTCATCGTGGCGTGCATACTGGGTGTGCTTCTGTGCAAGTCTCGACGTGTGACGGAACACACCTTTCTGACAGCATCTCTGACGTCTACCCAACCCCGTGATGCATACTCGAGTCATGAGCTCCACTCCAATCGCATCGTCACCGGCCACTGTGAAGCCAGTCCTTGCGCTGTGGAGCCACCAGCCATGGCCGCGGAGCTTCCAATGGCCCCGATCTCCTCCTCTTCAAACGATTGCAATGGTTGTGGTGAGATATATGATAGTCCCGAAGACTACTCTGATCCGATCGTCACCCGCCACTGTGAACCCAGTCGTTGCATTGCGGAGCCACCAGCCACGGCCGAGCTTGCAATGGCCCCGATCTCCTCGTCAAACGATGGCGATGGTTGTGGTGCTGTATATGATTGTCCGGAGGAGATGGGCAACATGGTCGACAATGATGCCTATGGCGTTACGGAGGGGCTGAACATGCCGACTCACTACTGTCCTGATCAGGAGCAGGGCAGTGAGGCTCTGGCAGGGGACTTAGTCTATGCAAATATGTAGTGGATCCTTTGCCATCGAATGATGGTCCCGATTTGTCCGTGAATCGGATATTGAACACATGATTCCTCATCACTTTCAACTCACTGGTAGGGTAGAACAGAACAGGACACGGCGTTTCAAAACCAAGCCCAATGCACCTCAAAACGCTTCATAGCTTGCCTTGCCTCTCACTGCCACTTCCCATGACACCAGATCTATATATTTTTCTATGGTATCTTCAAAACCTGAGGTTGCAAACAGTGTCATTCCTCTTCCCCTCTATACCTCTCTCTCTATCTATCTCCCTATCTATCTCTCACATTCCTCTCTCTCCCTCCCTCTCAATCTCTCTCTCTCTCTCTTCCTTTTCGCAGGCACACACTGTTGCCAATAAACACTGGTGATCAATTGCGGCTCTCCTCCGAATAAGCAATTAACTGATGATGTTGTTTATGACTGGTGATGTCTTTTGTAAATTGTGTTAGTAATTTTTTTCTTTCATGCCGTGGAATGTCTCAGTGCTCCTTTTCAGTTTGTGCTAGATTGTGCACGTCTGACTGTTCAAAATCTGGTTTAGTTGGTGGACTCGATTGCATAACTTGTGCCAACAATTTCCGAGTTACAATTTTTTAGCGTTTTCGATGCGTTTTTATATTTTTCATCGTTACTTTTTGCTCCTAACATTACAGTTCCATCACATTTATTTCTTTGTCCATCACCACATTACATACGTAACATGTCGCTTCAGCTGATTCTGTTTATTGCCATTCTAAAACTGATGTCACCTCGCCGCCTGTTCCATTTTTTTCGATTTTTTTATCACACCAACAGAAACATTCCATGTACCTGTCAAATTCCTAGCCCACCTTTTGATATGATGATCAGTACCAATTTTTGACTTCTGTGTTTCTGTGTTTCTGGGTTGAAGCTTCTCTGTTCGCTGTCCAGTCATGCTCAGTGATCAGGGAGTATTACTACGCATAATAATTGAAAAGTTTGCCTTTATTTTCATAGCAAACAGTCGGGTGTCGGAAACGGGGTGATGCACGGGATGAAGAGCTCGAAGGGTGCAAGCACTACATACACTATCCGGTATTGTATTACTCACAACGATGCTTTTCGCAATCTGTACCTTCGCATGCAACGACGCAAATCCACACAATTTCAGTAGACACTTCCTTCTATCAAACGTTTTCTTTCCCTTATCTTCAGGATAGTGGAGGGAATGTTGGAAATTTGGAAAACACGTAAGAAACACTTGTCACACTTTCACGAGGTAACTACTGCTTGAACGATGCTTTATTATTACTTTTAAAGTACTTCAAGTATTTTTTGAAAGGATTGGGAGAACTTCAAATTCAAAGGATCAGTTTGAGAAGTGATCTGCCTCAAAAGAGAAAAAATCGCCAGACCCACCAGGACTCGAACCCGGGATAGGCCTTGGCGGATAATGCTCGAAAAGGTGGCAGATTCTGCTTTTTTTGCACCGAAATTGGCAGAACCATACAAACCTTATGGCGGGCAATTCCTCGAATTCTGCTCCATTTCTTTATCCACATACCAAACATGCATGAAACTTACCAGAAAAAGTACCGAATTCTGCCAATTTTTCTGCCGGCATTATCCGCCAAGCCCTAACCCGGGGCCTTGCTTGTCATGAGCAATGCTCTAACCACTAAGCTATGGGACCGGGCTGAATCTAGAAGGCGCTGACACGTTTTTCACTCCAAAGGCAGCTCACAACACGTGCCACACATACTGATGGCACTTGGGTCTTTCTCCCTGCCCCAGGGGACCAACCACGGGCATTTTCTGGACCCTACCAGAAGTGAAAGACAGCAATCCCATAGCTCAGTGGTTAGAGCATTGCTCATGACAAGCAAGGTCCCGGGTTTGAGTCCTGGTGGGTCTGGCGATTTTTTCTCTTTTCAGGCAGTTCACTTCCCCAGCTGCTCCTTTCAATTTGAAGTTCCCCCAATCCTTTCAAAAATGTATCACTCTCTTTCAATTCTGGTATAATAGAGAGGTTAAGATGCACGTTATTTCCGACGTGACGCGAAAGTTCAGCTCGCGTTATTTGCTCGCACGTCGAAAAATCCACGCGAGCGACCTGCTGCTCACGTCGAAATTTGGAGTTTTACGCCAAATTTGACGTGAAATTGCGCGTCACGTCGGAAATAACGTGCATCTTAACCTCTCTAATGTCCACTAACACCGCCAGTGACTACTGTTAGCCAGTTAGTGGTAGAACGTCAGCACCGTCGGTTAGTGTCCTGCAATGGTAGCACATGAGCTGTTTGTTTGCCAAGTAGAAGAAGAGCAATGTCCGTACTGAAGACTCTTTTACGGGCAAAAGAAACAAAATGGATGAAAATGCAAACCCAGAAAACCAGAAAAGGACAAATGTGTAACCCAAAAGAAAAATCGTGTGTGATTAATACTCTGTATGTGATGTAGTACCATTGCAAAGCTACAGCAGCACCCAATACAGATTAAAATACAATTACAAAAAATATAAGAATTAAGACAAACAACACCTCACATATGCACCTCCACAACAGCCAACTCTCGGCGACAAATTTACCACCAGGTAAAGGGAGTTGCAATGGGCAATAATCTAGCACCACCATTCGCAATAATATTGTTCATGCACTCTCTGGAAACGCGCCTTCTTTCCGATTCACCGGTTCTGCCTGTGCTGTACAAACGGTACATTGATGATGTGATCATTCTCTGGACCCACGGCGAGAAACGCCTCTTGGAGTTAATACAGCACTTCAATGCAGGACACGACCGACTCAAGTTCATCTAGGAGCACAGCAGTAGCAAAGGCTGGATTGATTGCATGGACGTGATGATTGCCATACAACAGTAAGGCCAGATGACGTACAAGCTCTTCCACAAGCCATGCAATAGTGGATTGCTGATAGACTACGCATCTGCCGTGCCCCATCACATCAAACTTGCAGTTACCAAGTCTCAATTCTTAAGAGAGCATGTCTGAGAATACCAAAGTATGTGTGCAAGTGGATCTCTCCGATTTCGCTCAAAATTTGCAGGTAGGTTCCCTTTGGGGTGTGGATCGATTGGGCAAAGCCCTTGAAAAGGTTTCTGAAGGGAACCTTGAAATTTGCATACCCCTCAAAAATGGCCGAAATATCACATTATTTATGGGTCTAGAAACGAGTCACGCCACAGCGTGTACGAACAAGCTATGAACAAAACTCCATCAAGCCAACATTGCCTCACCTTAGAAGAGTCCTTGATAAGCTGTCCACGATTCTTAGCTCGTTCTGAGCGGAGGTTGATGGATGGGAACATCTTTACAAATTGAACATACCTGCAGAGGACATTGTAGGTCCACAAGAACTTGTCATAACACAAACCCACACATAGCCTAGAGGGATGATCCTTTCCCACCAACGACTACTATTCAAGACTTCAAGTACCATAGTACAATACATGTCAGTAGCCTATAGCGATAAGCAGCCCATAATTAAGTTCTCCGTATTCCAGGAGGGTCTAGATGCTGCTAGATATCTGGAGAGCACCATCTACTCATGTACCGTAGAGCAGAGCTTTATCATAGATATCAGTCTGGTTGGTGAGAACTGAGTAGGCGGGAAAGCACCTAGTACAAACCACTGCATCAAACTTTAATACAAATACGGACACACACACACACGAGCGCACACTCATACACACACGCACACGAATACTCATATACGTAGCAGTGTTCTGACGTACCTTGCTCGCGTGCTGTTGTTGGGCCGACTGCCGTGCGCCACACGCTGGTCCCAGATAAGTAAGCTGCCAGCACGCGTGGGTACTCTCTGGGGCTGTTTGTACATGGGATCATGGCCATGCACAGGTATAAAGTTTTACAAAGAGAACACAGAGATCACAGGTAACAACCAACCATTTGAATGGTAAAGTAGTCGTTGTTGATGAAATCCAGCCAAATATAACATCAGTACCCCGCAGCAGTACACAGACAACTGTCCCTGTGGGCAACAACTGTATGGTCCTGACCCTAGTTGAGCATGATACGGCTGGATTTTGCTGGACATGACAGTAGTTTTAAAAAGCAGCACAGTCCCGGAGAAGGTTGCAGGAGAAAACAAGTAGCTGTAGAGAGAGTTTGTTTTTTGCAGATTTAGATTTATATTGCTCCAGGAATGGTCAAGGTTGAACAAGGGTCTTGTCAACTGCACAAAGGTGGTGTTAATTGTTGCTCGGACCGCGGTCACATTCTCAGCACTGAATATCACACCAGCCTTGTCGCACTATACATTGTGCCGTGGTGGTCACAGGTGAACGCGTTGGAGTATCGCTTCTCAACAGAGCCTACAAAACAAAGTCATCGCGCGTGTGCCGTTATCATGTCGAGAAGTGATTCTTAGTTTCTTACCTTGCCTTTGGCTCAGTTTTCCTCTTTCTGTAGTTACGTCATGACCAGTATGGCACTCAGCTGTGGGGTAGCTAACGATGAACCTAGTAGGGTGCAGAAAAAAAACCATATATACATCATACATTAAAAATCCGGTTTGCATCAGCTGTGGATTTTTCAACTCCCATCCTCCCTGCAGAGAAACGAACGGAACTTTGGTACAATTAGTCTGATGTGATATTGAGTCAAGTGATATTGCAAGATAACACACAAAATGTCACACATTGAGTGCCAGATTAGATAACATTCATATCACTTATGTAACATGGACAAATGTGGGCACAAGTTATGCGATTGAGTCTACCAACTAAGCCAGATTTTGAACAGTCAGACGTGCACAATCCAGCACAAAACTGACAAGGAGCACGGAGACATTCCACGGCATGAAAGTGCCTTGTGCCCACATTTTTCCATGTTACATTTTTTTCTTGGCTCACCATCTGAGTTCCAATCTCTTATGTGTTGATTTATAGTATTCTTGAATTGTGTTCAGTTTATCATCATTATAATAAGGTCGAGCATTGAAACGATTGTTTTCAGAATCAGAATATTCTTTGAAATGCTGATAAGTAGTTGATACGTGTGGATAACACAATTGGTTATTTGTAGAGGTTATTCTTCTGGCAACTTTTTATTTTGCCATTTGTTTGGATAATGAACCTGCTGTTCGCACAGACTGAGCTCACACAACTTCTCAGCTTCAAGGGCAGTCGTAACTGACTTCTTTAGTTTCTCCAGCTGGGTGTTATGTCCTCCACCTTGTTTCATGCTGTCAAACTAACAACATGTGTGAACTATAACAACTGGTTTATCTGGTTTTTACTAGTACTGTACTAGTATCTTTACTTATAAAGAAGAGGCACCTGTGACGTGTGTCTGTGTGTGTGTCACGCTCAGGCCATGCTGCGGAGCAGCGCTGCCCTGAGCACGTGAAGCATGCGAACAGTGTAGCTAGCTAGTGGCCGCAGAAGCACTGAGCACGCGAAGCGTGCGAATCGTGTAGCTAGCGGAAGCAGCCACAGAAGCACTGAGCACGCGAAGCGTGCGAATCGTGTAGCCACCACCACGTGCTGAGCACGTGTGCTGTTCATGTACTTGCTTCACCCGCGCATGCCACGTTCGGCCAGGCAACGCTGGCCGCGGGTGCTGCTAGTTGGGTTATATAATATTAATAGTACTTATCTGTATCAGAGGGTCCCCGGGCATCATACAGGCGTAGGAATAGGGCCTTTGTAAATAGCTAGCTAGCTAGCTAGGGACCGAGCTAGCCGCTTTTGTCGAGCATCGACATGAAAACAAGGGACTTTTACTGTTGGACTATGTTCGGGATTGCAAATTGTAAGTGTGAAAGACGAATAACTCTCCATGCTGTACGGGGCATATTTCAACGGCTTGCT